AAGGAAGGAAGGAAGGAAGGAAGGAAGGAAGGAAGGAAGGAAGGAATGAAGGAAGGAAGGAAGGAAGGAAGGAAACCTCAGTACATATATTCTAACACGAGAAGAAACTGAATACAAGAATCAAGGTGATTATTTTATGGTCTCTAACACTGTAAAATTCTTGTTTTGGTGCATAATGTTGCTTTGGAATGGGAAAGAAAATACTAATGCTTAGTTTATAAGAAGGGGGAGGGTGAGACAACTGAGAAGCAGTGGATGGATTTTTCTGAAAGATAGCTGATAGAAAGCCAAATTCTGTTTCCTTTTTTTTCAAACCACAAGGCAGAGTTTCCTCTTTTCTAACAGACATCAGGAAGGACATGAAAATGCAGATGTTGGTAAAGATTTGGTGGTCTGTCCTCAATGTTCCTGGGTTATTGGCCTCAGACCTTATGCTTCATGACAAGAAAATGGGAGTATTAGTGTGGATCATTCATCAGCATCCCTTAATGTCATGAGAGGCCTGCTCTGTTCTCCTGAATGCATCCTGTGCTGCCATTTCTGAAAAGGATTTGAAAAAAGTGTGGTTTTGCTGACTGCACCCGTACTTCCACAGGGAGAGAAGCCTCTTTTCAAAGTCTGACCTTGAAATATCATTTTCTTTTATCTATATGAGCAGTGGGAATGGTGGGGAGAGGATATTTCTTCATGCAACTGCTCTGTAGGGCTACTCTGCAAGTGAATGAATAGCCTGAATTGAGATTAAAAAGTCTATTAATTGTCCCTAGGTATGTACCTAACTTTTCATGTAGGAGAATCACCATGTTGCTAACAGTATTGAATTAGGTTTTTGGACATCCCAAGATTAAAGGAAATAGCACTTAAGCATTTCAAAGCTTAGAAGACTTTAGAATAAGCTGCTGTTAACCAAAAGCAACCACCCCGAATGATACTGAGTCTGTATACATAGTAAGTCAGTAATATGTGGAAAAGGATGCTTAAAACTTTTGTCTTAAGGGTAAATCTTGATTTAAGGTAAGATTTAGAAGCTATTTAAGATCTTGGAGAAAAAGTGTATCAGAGAGCTCTGGTAATATATGTCTGCACAGCATCTGGAACACCAGAGTAACCTATTGAACACAGGATAATAATTTGTGCGGTTGTGTTTGGTCTGTGCTCCTGATTTGAAGTCTGGAGTCTGCTTCAAAATATGTTGTGCTTTTTTTTTTTTTTTTACTAAAATATGCAACATCCTACCATTTTTGCTCTGAGCAATTTGACTTACTCTTTTAAATGAATTCATTTCTGTACCAATTTGTGTCTGCTTGTAGAATTTAATTTCCTCAATTTTTGTTCATGTTTATAGCGTGTCTTGGATGATCAGGTTTTCTAGGTAGAAGAAAGGGTTAATAGGGAAAATGGTCCATTTGATGTATAAGAGCTGTGCCAAATCCAAAGAGGCCTCAGGGAGTCTGCAGCCTTCGTGTGCCCTGATCCTTTTTAGAAATATTGATGTAAGTAGAAAGAAAAATAATAAGTAAAGTGTCAATCTGACAGTTTCTGAGGCTCTGCAGGAGCCAAGGGTAATGCTTTCAAAATGGCCTTCAGAAACTGAAATTTCCTTTTCAACAAGACAGAGTCAATGTCTCATCAAAGTCTACTCTGATGGTGGCTTTACCCAACGTGGGGCATAGTAACGGTTACATATCCTAAGTTTCTTCTGTAGTTTCTGGTCAAAGGGGGCCATCGAAAGGGCACAGGGAGGCTCCTGCCAGCCTCTCTCCACTGAGTGAAAGCAAACCCAAAGCGTAGTCAGAGTTCCTGAAGCTGCCTTTTCAAATGCCCTTCTCAGTTTTTAGGCTTTAAGACAAGTAACGGTTGACATCACCTGAGAATTCCAGAATTGTCACAGTACCTAATACTCATTGATTTCAATACCTATTCAACTTCAGATGTTTTTAGACTCGAGCAGGTACTATTCGGCCTGTCCTACTTGCTTCTGAAGTTCTGGTTCAAAGCCATGTCTAAAAACTCCAATTTAGCCTCTTAAAGTATTTAGCCTTTGAATATTTTCTCCGAGCCTTAGCTCTAGGTGGTAGCCCTGCCCCTCCACAGGTCTTTGTGTGGGATTAGTGAGGCAGCAGAAGGTCCTGCGTGGTGTATGTAGTCTGGAGCTCTGGGGAAAGGAGGATCAAGGAGAAAGGATTTTTGTTGGGGTAAGCTCAATAAGAAGCAGCCCAGCTTTCTTCCTTTATCCACCTTGTTCTCCACATCTGGCACTCAGACCAGTTAAGAGGGTGGGGTTGCAAAAAGGGAGAGCTCCAGCTTCAGCAGGGGTTTCAGTGGCACCACACTAAGAACAAATTTTATGTTACACCATGTTCCCTTTTCGGATGTTGAACGTCTCAGCACCCAGTACTGCCAGTGCAAGTTGCAAGGACCTGCTCTTAGCCACTTTAATTAGAAACTGAGATGGTCCCAGAGGAAGATTTGTTAAGAGCTAAATCACGTTTCAGAAATAGCTGTTCTTCTCCACTCACCACAGGAGTTCAGACATCTCACGGCTCCCTCAGCTCCGTCAAGCTGGATGCACTTTGCTGCAAACAGTACTTAGGCCCTGAAATTTTTGGTTTTCTTTTCCGAGACCGTTTTCTCTCCAACCACACTGCACACATTGGCACTCTTTCCTAGAAAAAATACAATATTTAATTGCAGTGCCTGATGAGTTCGATCATTAGCCGTCTCAATAAAATATGCAAATCCAGAGTAATTTCAATGCAAAGCACCTTTAAACGAAAATGGTAAGATAAATGCAATCAAGTTACAATTACTTTTTTTTTTTTTTAAGAGGGCACATTACACAAGCTCAATAAATATGATTAGTTCTAAACCTGCCTGCACAGAGGTGAAAAGCAGGCTGGAAAAAGGCGCTGAGCACAGTCATGACATTACAGTTCCCAAGATGATCAGCTACTGCATATATTACTCTTTGCACTACCGCTTCTCTATCATGATTCAGTGCTCAGGTCAAACATAATTATAACTTTCTTTTCAGAGCAGGAGTTGATAGCTGAGCATTTCTTGTCAAATTATTCAAAGTTTAAAGTGTAATTTTTTATTCATTTCTTGTTCTCTATAAAGATGATAAAGTGGGATAGCTGAGATATTGATCTTCTAAGCTCATGGAGTAAGACTGGGGGTCATAATTCATCTGAGGTGAAGCCTTCTGAATTGTGGTGCTCTATTCCCTTACCTGCGGGGAGTGGAGATGAGCCCTGTGCCGTAAGGACATCCCTGCAGAACATTTATTGCAAGATAACTGTTGTACAGTAATTATCTTTTTGGAGAGCACGTTTGCTTTCCTGTTTCCTCTTTTTTCTGATGCAATTTCTGTGGTTAGAAACAGTATGAAACCAGCGCTCTCTCTGAATTGAAGAAAGTGAAATGAAGGTCGGGTTTTTTGGCATGTTATTACATATGCAACAAACCGGTGTGAATTAGCTCTAGGCCAAACTCTAACCTCCTTTCTCAGGCAAAAATGTTAGAATTGGGCAAATGGTAATTTTTTTTATATCGTTTTATGTTCACTTTAGGTGTGATTATAATGTTATCTGTCCCAGCTATCTGGATTCTCCTTTAGAGGTAATAACGTACCAGGAGAAAACCATTTTTTCTAAGAAAAAAAGAACGAAGTCTCAAGAATTATACTTGGACATCAGGCAAAATATCTAATACTTTTCTCACTGCTGGAAATGATCCATATTTCTTTAATGCTTCCAGTACTGACCATTAAATATAACGACAAATACAAGGTTGCCAAATATCTTACCACACATGGTTTCTGAACATCAGAAAAGCCCAGTGGAATTCCTTCCGATTAAAACAGCTATTGCAATTAACTGCCCGAAAATATTTAGGCATGAGCCATCCTGCAGCACTCATGGGTCATCACCGAGCAGCTACAGGAGCTGGATTGGTTTCCACTTGATCCCAGCAACAGTTGCTTAAGTCATCACTATCTCACCCTTCCAAGTTGCTTAACATTTTAAGAGATTTAATGTAACATCCAGGAAGTCCCAAGACCGCAAATGTGTAAAGTGCTTTTTTAACATTTAACAAAGTCACAGTTCAGTGTTTCTTTGTATGTATTAGTCCTTACTTGAACTCACTAAGCCTTCAGTGCAGGTTTAAAACTTAAATCCTGCCCTGAATAGCCAAGGACATGAGCTCCAGTTTAGATAAGCACTTCTGCATGTGGTTAAATGCTTCATTTTAAGCACATGTTAGTCTTCTTGGCATCACTGGGACTGCTTCTGAGATGAAAGCTAACCGCTGGGGACATTGTGCATGTGTGAGCGCATAGTTGTTTGCAACATTTGGATTCCACTGAAATCAACAGAACTTGGACTGTTGACTTCAAATGGGCCCCACTTTTACCCCAGGCATTTTGCTGCTTTAGAGACCTCTGACTCCCTGTCAGTGTTAGATTTGTTAGATAGGTTTGTTGGTTGTTTTGTTTGTGGTTTTTTTTTTTTTTTTTTTTTTTTTTTTTTTTCCCTGTTATTGTTTTCTCTTCTAGAAAACTTCATGCAATCTTGGGAATTAATTTACTTCACGATGTCTCTTTCATTATTCGTACAGCCCTCATCTCTGTATACTTCTTCAACCACACTGGAAAGGATTAGTTTTAAGAGTCATATAATACTTTAGCTCTCAGTGGAGCAAGGGATGATATGTTCCGTTTCTTCCAGCTTTTATTAAGTTGTTATACTGATGCATCAAAGCTTAGGGGGGAGAGTTTCTTAATTACGAACCTCTCTTTCAACCGTATATGGTCACAAAATTGGTTTCTTAGGATGTGTTTAAATTTTAATGTAGATGCTAAAAAATTTGCTGTACAGTTTGTTTGAAACTTTTCAGTCCTAACTTTCTGTTCTGGATCAGTAAAAGAGTGATGAATTAATGTGTATGTTAGCTCCATAAGAACAGCTACCTCGAGAATTTCTGTGTCCTGGCACTTTAAGTATTTTGGGTTTCTGATACCCTTTGTTCTCCTGGGTTTTTGCTTGATTCCATTATATTTTCTTACAAAATATTGAAGGTGATGTATCTACTCCACTTTGTCTCCTGGCACCTTTTCCTCTCGCCATTCACGACAGTGCTTTCAAACTCCAGTCGTATTTTTTTCAGAGCAATACATGAACTTTTCATAGACTGAAGGTCAAAACTGACTTGGAGAACAGATGGGACGTGGAAGGATGAACCTTTGCCACCCACTGAGCATTAACACCTGCTTATTTGTTACATCTGCCCACTGCAGCTTAGAGGCTCTTGAAAATTGTACCCAAGTGGTTTAGGACTTGCTATTGGACTGAGTGCAAATGCCTTTTGTCAAAGAGGGGGGGTTTTTTACCTTTTCACTCAGGCTGCACATTCTGTGGGCCTAGGATGGCAATTGACTTCACATGCTTAGATTCTAAAAGAGAGACTATCATCTTGCTGAGATGCTACTGCAATAAAATTAAAAAAGAAGAGAAACATTGAGATGGCACTTAACACAAAGTGTCGATGTTTTAAAAACGCAGATAGGTTTAGGATTTCAGTTAGTTTCATGCAAGAGCATGTTTACTCCCCCTTGAACGCAGCTGCACACAGCATAGTTTTCTTTGGAGGTTCCAGAGAAGGTAGAATAAGAATAGTTTGTCTTCATCCTACTAACTCCAAGTGAAGGCAGTTCAGCCAGATAATTGGTGGGGAAAACCAATGACCCTTTCTGATCTGCCCTCAGTTTGTGGTCAGATACCTGCGTTCCTGTCTTTCTGCAGTAGTTCTCTGACAGATGCTTACTGGGGAGTGATGCGATGTTAAATCAGGAGTTACTCCTGTGTTTTTCAAGACTGGCCCCTGGATTTGGGTACTGGTATTTATAGTAGCTGCTAACTGTATTTCAGTGAGAAAATTAGACATTCATTAAGTTGCTTTAGATCAGGGAACAGAAAAAAGTTATTATGCAGCATGAAAAAAGCAGTGAATGAATAGGTGGTTTGCTTGTACCAAGTGAATCATAGCAGAATATGCAATATATTTCTTTTTTTTTTTTTTTTTTTTTTTTTTTT